AAGAGAATGAGAACAGCATAGCTCTCAAAACAGCTCCTGAAAAAGGATTAATAGTGAATAGGAATATACAGACATTCTGGGAGTTTAAAGAAGGAAAAAGATGCTGAATGGGAAGGAAAACTAATTTCCAGAGATTTTCCCACATGGCCTCCCCAGCAGTAGAGAGCACATGGAAAGGCAAAGCACTAAAGGCAAAGCTCTCAAATCTGCTTTCCCAAGGCTTGTGAATCTGGGCTAACAGCTGAACTACATCTGAGCCTCCCTTGCTGAGATGTTATTCTGGCCAAAAGAACCTGAGCCAAAATTATGTGTACCACTTCCAGGCTTGGCTCACAAGCATCTGTGTGTGTGATCCACCACCTTCTAGTGGTTTGGGGATCCCATGGGGGAGAGAGTGACATCCAAGGTAGGACTATGAGTCCCTGAATGACTACATGGAGCAGAATCCCCAGCCCCAGCCCCTCACATTGCTGTGATAAGAACAAGAAAAAACTTTGCTGTGCTACACCATTGAAATGTGAAGGTTGTTAGTGACAGAAGCTACCACTACTGTGCAGTGCACAGTTAAAACTGAAGGCTGGATTCAGAAGACCTGTGTTTATTTCCCACTTCTGCCACCTAGTTACGGGTGAGCGCAGGCAAGTTGCTTCATCTGGGAACTGCTGTGAGGATTACATGGAAAAAGGCTTTGTAAACTGTGAACGTGCTGTAAACGTTGGATATTATTAGTATTAGTCTATTCTTCCTAAGTTGGCCAAAATAACAGAGTCCAAGAATAGTATACAAGGATTAGTCATTCTTTCCAAAATAACAAAAAGAAGAACACGGTCTGGGATCTCGTGATACTGTTATTAACTCAAGTGTTGGAAAAGGAGTTTGGGTGGGTCCATGGGAGGCCATTGATTTACTTCAGAACTGCCGCAGTTACTTCTGCTTTGCTAGTCTGCGGTAAAATTATGATGAGTATGCTGGTTTGATATTTGTAGGTAATTCTAACATTGGGATATTTTAATATTTCAACTTTTGTTGGGGGAAGGGAACAAGAAGGAAAGAGGAGAGAATGATTTCTAGGTGAATTTTACCAACGATTGTCCTCAGAATCCAATGTATTCAAAATATTCTTTTTGGCCACACATTCGTTGGTATTTTGTATTTCTCATAAATGTTTAACAGTTCTTGCTTGATCAAGGAGGTTGAGATAATCCAGAACTCATATCCCAACATATATTGAATTTTAAAGTAAATAATAGGACCAAAAGAGACTTCGAAGATTGAAGTTTATTCATCTTCTAAGTTTCACCATAGTCCTGAGTCCTGGAGCCATCCTGGGTGTGGATAAACTCCCAGGCTTCTTGGTATGAGGTTTAAGAAATGGGAGAGTATCCAGACTCTGAAACACTTCCAAGGCCCCAGTGGGAGCCTGTGAGGAGGACCACTGACCGGAAAAGGCCAGTCACTGGTGATAGTTCCTGTTGAAGTCAGATGAAAGGCAAGAGGCAGAGTTTGGTCATTAAAATCATCTGGGTCCTTTATTTCTGGTCTTAGACCCACCCCTTTTTAATGAGATGATTTCTTAAACTATTCATTGCTCCTTTTCTTTCTCTCTTATACCTCCACTTCCTGTGTGCACCCCCCCTCCTCTCCCTAGCCTTCATAGACTTTTCTTATTTACTTTCACGTTTTAGGAAGAGGGATGATTTAAAAAAATGAAGGCATTTCCTCTTGCTTTTCTGGATCTTTTCTCCCTGTGGATATCCTCTCTACCTCCCTAGTTGGCTCTCCTGTTTCTAAGAACTGTTTTTACTTCTTACTCACTTTGGGGAAGTGAAATGGAAATCAGAAGACCTGGGCTGGTGCTCATTAGCATATAGATAAAATCACTTATCTTCTGCTTGAGGAACTATGGTATCTCATCTGTAAAAGTAAAGGAAGGGTGGACTAGAGTCTCTGGTATCCTTCCTTCTTAGATTCTGTGCGTGATCAGCAGCTAAACAAGGAGGCCTTTAGAATTCTCTTGCTAACATCTAAAGCTTTTCAGCTAAGTAGACATTTCTTTTGTTTCCTGGGTGAGATATCTGGCTGAATTTCAGAAGAAGCAAGTTGAAGTCCTGGAATATGAGTATGTTAGGAATTAGTGGAGATGAGACTGGAAAAATTGCATCAAACTTAGAAAGAACCTTGCATTATATGCTAGATTTGGAACTTTATTATTTCGGTGATGGAGATTTTTGGAAGTATGACCATATCTGTGTTTTAGGAAGTTCATTCCAATGGTTACACAAAGAGTGGTGAGAACAGAAGGCAATACCACCAGATAAAACTGCCGTCAATATTACAAGCAACAAATGAGGAGGATCTGAAGAATGTGGAATGTCATTTGAAAAAATTGGAGGGAACCAATTTAATATATTTGGAGGTTTATTACATGATTGGCTGAGGGAGTTCCAGAGGGAAAGCAGTCCAGGAGGACTCTCTCATTGATTTGAGTGGACAGGTTTGTCATGAACATAGTAGACACCTATCTCCCAGTGCCTTGACTTGGGACTTCCCAGTTTCCAGAACTGTGAGATATTTCTCACAGTTTGTTTGTCATGTAAGCCACGTAATCTATGGTATTTTTGTTTTAGCAGCTTGAATTAACTAAGACAAAGTTTCAAGATATACAGTAATGGGGGTGACAGCTCTAGAAGGAGTCAGTCTGAAGCAAAAGAAAATGAAGCCAGCAGGCAAGGAGAAACACAGAGGAGAGTACTGATAATGTTTGAGACCCTGGCTCTAGTTGGTCCTGGGACCCATTTGGTTCCCTGTTCTTCCTACAATTTGTAGTTTTCCTTTGATTTCCTGAGATATTTTCTTTTTGTTGCCTAAGCTAATTCTAGTTCAGATACTTGCATCTGAGATTCTTGACTAATGTGGCTATCCAGTAATTGAGTTGGGGAGGAGTAGGCAGAGGCCAGTCTGAAAGAGAAGGTAATGAGGTCAGTTTGGGACATTTTAGGTTGAGTAGCTTTGAACATCCACATAAAACTTTCCAGCAGTGATTTCATTATAAAGCTGAAGCTCAGAAAATAGATCACAGTCTCCAAGTCATCAAAAATATATTTTTTAAAAATTAATATATATATATTATTAATTTTATATATTAATTTATAATATATAAAAAATTAAATATATATATATTTAAAAAGACAAATCTAAGTATGAGGCCTAATGGTATATCACTAGATATACCCAAGGTAACATTGATCTTTTTTGGGATTTAATTGTTTAAGGCACTATACCTCTATTCAATGGAACTAGCACTCAACTTACCTGTCTGACACTGATTCACAATGATATTATAAAACATTTTTCTAAGTACTTCGATGCAATTAAGATTGAGTACTTCTATGGAATTCCCCTTTTAGTTCAAGAGAATATCATACACATAAAAGATGGAAATGAGATTACTCTTGGTGATCTTGGTGGACATGGCTCCTAGCACTCTCTTGAAATGAATGTTGCCGTTTTCTAAGTAATTATAAATCAATCATTAAAATTAATTTTTCTGACTAAACCATCTGTCCTTATCTAAGAAGTAATGGATGGGTTGTACTGAATGACTTCTCCACAATTATAGAACTTGTCTTTATTAACCTTGTCAGGTCTATGCATGGATACTTTTGTACCTCCCAGCAAGGAAGGTCCCGGCATTCCATAAACTTAATGGTGCCTACGAATTGTCCTTGTTGAGTGTCCTGTTTGGAGTGGAAGGCTAGTGCTTCAGAAATGTCAGGTTGACCCTCCATCAGAAAATAATTTTTTCTTTCTGTTTAAATATATTTTTATTGATTTCAGAGAAAAAAAGGAGAGAGGGAGAGAAGAGAGAGAGAGAGAGAGAGAGAGAGAGAGAGAGAGAGAGAGAGAGAGAGAAATATCAATGAGAGAGAATCATTGAGTGGCTGTCTCCTGCCCACCCCACACTGGAGATCAAGCCCACAACCTGGGCATTTGCCCTGACCGGTAATCAAAACATGGCCTCCTGGTTCATAGGTCCATGATGAGTCACTGAGCCCTCCAGCTGGGCAGTATTTTTTATTTTTTGGTATTATCAAAATATTTCTTAATTTTTTTTTATTTTTTTTATTTTTGTCCAAAGTTTTACATATTCTCCTCCCCCCCTCCCCAGATTGATCCTCCCCCTAACCATTCCCACCCCGGGCAAGCCCCCACTGCCCCAGTGTTAGTGTCCATTGGTTGTTAATATGCATGCATACAAGTCCTTTGGTTGCTCTCTAACCACATCCCCCCCCCCCCCCCACCTCCCCTGGCATTTGTCTCTGGATCTATTTTTGTTCATCAAATTATGTTGATCATTATATCTCACATATGAGTGAGATCATATGATATTTATCTTTGTCCAACTGGCTTATTTCACTTAGCATAATGCTCTCCAGGTCCATCCATGCTGTTGCAAATGGTAAAAGTTTCTTCTTTTTATAGCAGCATAGTATTCCATTGTGTAGGTGTACCACAGTTTTTTAATCCACTCATCTGCTAATGGGCATTTAGGCTGTTTCCAAATCTTAGCTATAGTAAATTGTGCTGCTATGAACATAGGGGTGCATATATCCTTTCTGATTGGTATTTCTGGTTTTTTAGGATATATTCCTAGAAGTGGGATCACTGGGTCAAATGGGAGTCCCATTTTTAACTCTTTGAGGAAACTCCATACTGTCTTCCATACAGTGGTTGCACCAGTCTGCATTCCCAGCAGCAGTGCATGAGGGTTCCTTTTTCTCCACATCATCACACCAGCACTTATCATTTGTTGATTTGTTGATGATATCCATTCTGACAGGTGTGAGATGGTATCTCATTGTTGTTTTGATTTGCATCTCTTGAATGATTAGTGACTTTGAGCATGTTTTCATAGGTCTCTCTGCCTTCTGTATGTCCTCTTTTGAAAAGTATCTACTTAGGTACTTAGCACATTTTTTGATTGGATTGTTTATCTTCCTTTTGTTAAGTTGTGTGAGTTCTCTGTAAATTTTGGAGATTAAACCCAGTATTTTTTTCTTTCATATCATACCAAAGGCTATGAACAGTACAATTGTTTTTTCAAGGCAGAGAAATCTGGGGCGCAAATATTGCTTCCAGCACTAACATGCTGCATGATCTGGGCAGGGTTATGTATGCTGAGCACAATTTTCCTCATCTGGAAAATAGAAACAGTGACTAATTCCTTAGTACATTTGTAAATCAAATGAGATCAGATATATACTTGATAATATAATTATCAGATATATAATTAAATCTCTATATTATACTAAATTAGTTCATGGCCCATAGTCAACTTTCAGTAAAGACTAACTGTGACTGTGCTTTAGTTGATGACTAGTTATTTGCATCTTTTTGTTTATCACTAACCCACATTTATCACTGGTCTTGCCTCCTTTGCATATCATTGGCTTCTCTTTCTGGTTTCCTTTTTGAATTTTTAATATTATTTTTATCATGACTGGGCATAGTTTATCCTCATGAAAAAGCTAAAATGGATTCCTCTACTAACAAGAGCTGTCTGTATGGATAGCTTATATAATTTGTGACCTTATTAGGTCATTTCTGTCCAGGGTCCTGGCAGTGTCCATTTCCAGGCTGGTTCTCCAGTAACTCCAGGTTGATCAAAATTGCACAATGGCCCTGGCTGGATGTCTCAGTTGATTGGAACATTGTCCCATATGTCAAAAGGTTGTGAGTTTGATTCCCAGTCAGGGCACATAACTAGGTTGCGAGTTTGATCACTGGTTGGGGCACGGACAGGAGGCAAACAATGTTTCCTTTTCACATCTATGTTTCTTTTTTCTCTCTCTCTTTTCCTTCTCTCTAAAAAATCAGTAAAATCATATCTTCATGTGAGGATTAAATATATAGCTGTAATATTCTATGGGTAAATTATATGCACTTTACTAAACATATTAACATAAATAGTTACATACAAGTGGATTACCATCCCCTGATGGGACTCCCATTTCTTTCTAGTTGACCTGGCATGACAGTAACCGCTGAGGCAAAAGTGGCTTTCAAAGCTAAGGCAGCAGGGCTTTGTTATGTAATATGCAACATCAAAGCAAAGGTAGAGAAAAGGCTCAAAGATTGTGCACCCATTCAAAGAATCAAACGGTTTTGGAGTGACATCTTAAATAGCTCTTCCATCTATCTACTTCTCTCTCTCTCTTTTGTTTTTAAATCAATCTTTATTGTTCATATTATTACAAAGGTTCCTCATTTCTTGCCCCCTCCACCAGGTTCCCACCCCACCCTCTGCCCTTTCCCCACCCCCCATTGTCCTCATCCATAGGTGCACAGTTTATGTTCAATCTCTTCCCGCATCCACCACTCCCCTTTTCCCCTAGAATTGTCAGTCCACTCCTCTCCCGTATCTCTGATTCTATTATAATCAACAGTTAATATTGTTCATCAGTTTTTTTTAATTTCCTTTTTTTTGTTGTTGTTGTTGTTGTTTTAATTAATAAACTTTTATATTTTTAGGAATAAATTTTAAAATCTAATAATTTTAAACCTTATTTTTTCTGCCCTGGGAACTGCGAAGCAAACTTGTTTGCATGTAAACTTGCTCTTAGGCTATCAAAAGGCATAGCCATTCAAATGTAAATGAACACATTGTTTAAAGATAGCTGCTGGCTGGAATTGGATTACCTGTTTGGGTGGGAAGGGTTTGTCCTCCCCTTTCTCCATTAAAATTAAGGTGTTAGCTTTAAAATCTCTTTTTGGCAAGAGACCTTAAACTTTCAGAACTTTAAATTTTTCAGGTAGTAAATCAATTACTTAGCATTTTCTCAAATCAATAATACCTCCACATGACCAAGGACACACTTCACACAAAAGACACTTCCAAATAGATCAACCAACCTCATCCAGACCCCACACAAGGCACTCACAGATCAACACCCCAGTGCTATAATATCTCAACACATCCAGATCTAAGCCTTCATCACTTGATTTAGCAGACCATCAAGTTCCCCCAAAAGTTTTCAGCCATGTCTGAGAAGCAGCCCTGGGGCATGGGTAGGCAAGGAGCGAGCTGTTCTGGGCCCGGCTGCTTTGGGCCTGGCCTCTGTTGCTCTGGTCCACTCCACAACCAGCTGCTCCAGGTCTGGCCGCTGCTGCTCCGGGCCTGGCTGCACCCCACCTGGCTGTTCCCTGCCCAGCTGCTCCGGGCCCAGCTGCTCCTGGCCTGGCCACTCCCGGCCTGGCTGCTCCGGGCCTGGCTGCTGCTGTTCTGAGACTGCTGCTCCCGACCTGGCTGCTCTGGGCACGGCTGCTCCGGGTATGGCTGCTCTGGGCCTGGCCACCCTGGGCTTGGCCGCCTCCACCCCAGGCCTGGCTGCCATTACCCCAGGCCTGGCTGCTCTGGGCCTGGCTGCTGCTGCTCTGGTTCTGGCTGCTGCTGCTCTGGGGCCTGGATGCTGCTTCTCCGGGCCTGACTGCCACTGCCTTGGGCCTGGCCACTCTGGGCCTGGCCGCCGCCACTCCAACATTGTGTCCTTTTTTTTTTTTTTTTTTTTTAAACGCATTTATATTGCAATGTTGGCTGCTGAGTTGCGTTCTGTCTTAATCTTTGATTTTTCAAGATCTTCTTTGTATTCTTTCTTAAGTAATTTTACTATCTTTTGCTATAACTTGATTTCTTCACATTAAAAACTTCTTCGTTTTCTTCTTCCTCGTTCTGGGAGCTCAGCAGGCTGGCCTTTGGCGCCCCTTTGTTCTCCGTGGCCTTCTGCGTGGCTTCAGCCTGTTGCCAGGGTCAGCTCCGCCCAGGAAGCAGCCCCCGGCCTCGGCTCCATGGCCTAAGATCAGCAGTCGAGGGGCCCGCAGCACCTCCCCTGCAGGGGCTGTGTTGCCTGACTCCTTGCTGGTGCCCAGCTTGCTGGTGTCTGGCAGCAACTCCCGCTCCTCATCTTGTTCTTCCCAGACTGGAGCTTTTGTCTCCTTCCCGCTAGGGCAGTCTAGCATCAGAGTCAACAAACTGTCCTCTGCGCGCAATGTGCGCGACTCCGGGGGCTCTGCCTTTCTCCGCTCCCCTGGGATTCCGCCTCACAGCCCCGGAGCCTGGGTCCCCAGGGTCTGGCCTAGAACTGGGGTTCAGAGCAGTCGGAACTGGGGCTCAGCACAGCTGGAGCTTTTGTTTCCTTCCCGCTAGGGCAGTCTAGCATCGGTATCTACTTCTCTTCATACCCGTTCCCAAGTCCACAATAACACTGTCCTCCCTTGCAGCCCATTCTCTCTTCCACTATCAGAGGGAGCTTTTTAACTTTCAATTATGACTAGGTCGCGTTGCTGAGGGACCATTCAATGAGGCTTAAATGTGGCCCCTAGTGATGTAGACACAACATACTACTCCAATAACATGCCTTCCCATTGATGGCCTTTTGATCTATGGTTCAACCATGTTAACTTTTGGAGTTTTAATTTCTCAAGTGCTTTATGATATTTCTGGTCCTCCAAGCTTTATCCTTATGGTAAATACTTTCTGATAAGAACCTTCCTATATTCCTCCAACCTTTTGCCTTTGTCCTAATCTAAATATTGCTCTGGAAGCCTTTTTCTGACCCAGGGCTGGGTTAATTGCCTCACTAATGAATAAACTGTGAATCATGGCATTAATCAAATTATAAAGTGATTACCTTTTTACTTTTCTAGATTAGAATATTTTGCTCACCACTGTGTAGGCAATACTATGCACAGTACTTGGCACAAAATAAGGCCCTAAATAAATCAATATTGTTTTTTCCCGCCAGGGCAATCCAGCATCAGAGTCAACATTCCATCCTCTGCGCGCAATGTGCACGACTCAGGGGCTCTGCTTTTCGTCGCTCCCGTGGGATTCCGCCTCACAGCCCCGTCTCCCCCTGCCCAAGCCTGGGTCCCCAGGGTCTGGCCCATAACTGGGGCTCAGCGCTGCCGGTTCTGGGGTTCAGCCCAAGCCAGGGTTTTTATTTCCTTCCTGCTAGGGAATGCCAGGCAGGCACCCAGCCTTCTCCTCTCCGGCTGCGTCCTCTCTGTGTGTGCGCAGCATGTCTCCGTACCTTAGGCTTTTTCGGCTCCTCTGATTTTTCTTCTGGTTTTCTCTTTCCTTCTTGTTGTTGAATATTCAGTCAGTCGGCTACCTGCAGCTCTGGGCAATGTCCACTCTACATTTTAGTTGTATTCCATTGAAATTGTTGTGTGCTGCTGTGGTTAGGTGTCTACCTGAGCAGCCATCTTGGATCCTCAATAAATCAATATTGAATCAGCAAATGAATGGATGAATCATGGCATTAGAAGGTAAAAAAAACAATCAGAACTAAGATACCAATTCCAACTATTGATGAAATATTTGGGATACACTTATACTAAAAAATTACTTGCTGTTTATATAAAATTCAACTTTAATTGGGCTTCCAACATTTTATCTGGAACCCTTACTTGTTAATTAAATCTCTATTTCTGCATTTCTAAGAGATAAATATACTAATTTTAAAAATCCCAAGTCTTTGATTATTTAACTGCCTTAGCAGTAATACATGAATGATTATGTTACTAATGATGAATAAATTGCTTTTCTTTCTCTTTCTTTAAGCAATGGGGATTGTATAGATTTCCTGGTTGAATTTCAGCACTCAATGCTCTGACTTAATAATGTGACCCAACATACTCCAGTGTTTTTAATACTGTGGTTAAGTTCAGAGGAACAGTTGTGATCCTTAAAATGATTTTCCTACTTCTTTTACACATTCCACTTATAGTCTAATTTGCTGACTCCTTTTTGAGTCTCTCTCTTTTAAGAGTTACTTTCATTATTGCATAATCTGTGGTGACTGATGTTGAGTAATTAATGAATAATCTGATTTCCTCTTTTAATAAGTTCACTCTATCTTTCTAGTTCAGTTTCACCAATAATCCATCAGAGATCCTCCTTAAGATAGAATTTATTTTCTCAGGGTACTCATAAGGAAACAAATACTGATAATGTGGAATGTACAAGTATTCATAACAACAAGCAATACCATAATGAGACATTGGTAACAATGAGAGGAAAACTCTTTAATAATACACAGTTGGTTTCACAATTTAATGTATTTGTTGAACGGCTGCTAAAAAATGCAAAAATTGCTAGACTGCTAGGAATTTTTAACTTAAATTACCACACAAGGAAAATTAAATCCAAAATTGTTGCTTCATTAAGAATAATTATTTCCATGACCAGTGTGGCTCAGAGAGTTGGAGCATCATTTGTCCTGTACACCATAAGATATGTGCCCTGACTGGTTTGATTCCCGATCAGGTACATACCCCGCTTGGGCTTCGATCTTTGGCCTGGGCGTGTGCAGGAGGCAACCAATTGATGTTTCATTGTCACATTGATGTTTTTGTCTCTCTCCCTCTCCCTTTAAAATCAGTCAAGGCATGTGCTCAGGTGAGGATTAAAAACAAACAAACAAAAAGAATATTAATAAGTATTTTCTTCCATTTAAGGTCTTAGTCTGGAAGCAGTTGCCTTCCAGAAAGAAGTTATATTTAAGGAGAGGATATTAATTTGTCATGGTAAAAAGCAATTGATGCTACATAAAAGGGACAGAATCAGTGAAATCAGATTATTCATTAATTACTCAACATCAGTCACCACTGATTATGCAATAATGAAAGTAAGTCTTAAAAGAGACTCGAAAAGGAGTAAGCAAATTAGACTATAAGTGGAATGTATAAAAGAAGAATGACAATCATTTTAAGAATCACAACTGTTCCTCTGAACTTAACCAACCACAGTATTCAAAACACTGGAGTAGGTATAGGAATAGATGTAAGTGAATTCCCTTTTGCCTGGAAGAACCTAGTAAGACTGTGTTCCTGGTTTTGGTAGATGTGGTGGCATGGGCCTTGGACCTTCAAGGATAGCTAAGGGTCCAAGATGCATGAGAGGACACCACCATGCAGAAGGGTCCCTGTAGACAAAGCCCTCGTTTAAATTTCAGAGGAGCAACGTTCAATTGCTTGAAAATGACATCCTTTAAAGAAGACCTTGAACAATGTTCACACAATCGGCCACCTGTCTGAGAATTTCCAAGATCATGCCATAAGATGCTAATAGGACCCCTCGGTATATTTTAAGACACCAACTGAATTGTGAGCATGACTAGAGATATGCTGAGAAAATAGCCAATTCTAATTACATTTAGTATATTTATATAGGTATTTAAGATAATGTTTCCATATGATTAACCTGTGGCTGGATGTTGGAGACTATCTCTCTTTTTTTAAATACCTTTATTTATTCCTTTATTATTTTTGCTGTTGCTGTCACTTTAGCTGCCAACCTATTTTTTTCCTATTTTTGTTCAGAGACTGTCTCTTGAAAGCTCTTTCCCTAAGTGTAAGTACAACTCCGTTGGCACATATGACTATTCTGTACAGAGCTGGATGACTTTCCCCACGTGGGAGGCCTCAGGAGGAAGTTTCCGTGGGTGTGCTACAGCACATGAGGGAACTACTCCAGGAGAGGCCGTGGGGATTTTTGTCTCCTGCACCTTGGTTCTGATTCATGCGTTGGCTCACGTTGTTCTCGGTGTGTGCGCCAAAAGGTGTGGAAGGCAATTACAACATTAAACCCTAAGCCTTCTTCTCGACCTTTTCTATGTATCACTAGCTGCTCTCCAGGCAAGCTCTCCTCTCTCATTTTGTTCTCAAGTTCACTGCTGTCAGATGGCATGGGAATGGCATGGGAGGCCAACCAAGAAAACAGGAACTACGGATCCGCTAGCCTGACCTGCATTTCCAAAACCCAGAAAGTTCCACAGAGTTTTTGTAAATCCTTTGGCAGCAAAATCTAACCTCACCTGGACTCATTTGAAAACTAAGTCTTACCTGGAATGACAGATTTTATTTACAGTCTTTGACCAACTAGTATAAATATTCCCGTGTTTTACTGCACAAGAATACTTCAGGGCTGTCCCAGAGTCTGCTGGCAGTAAATACTAACACGGTAGCACTTTTATAAAAAATCCAAGGTAACATCTGGTCCCAGGGTTTCGGATAAGGCCTTGCAGTCCCACAGTTCAAAACACACCACGGATGGTGCTCAGGGAGGAGGGTTGGACTAACGTACAGTCATTGGTTCAGTTATTACTTCTGATGTTTCACCCTTCTGTCTATGAAATTAGTATTTTTCTAGAACAACAGGTTTCAATATGTGATCGTGGGTCACTAGAATTTGTAAGCTGTCTTATGGGGTCTGTACTTTTATTGTTATATATAAAAATGTATTTGTACTTTATGATGACAGCAAGACATTACTAGGTAGCACATTAAACCAAAGCAATTCCTCCTCCTCCTCCTTCTTCTTCTTCTTCTTCTTCTTCTTCTTCTTCTTCTTCTTCTTCTTCTTCTTCTTCTTCTTCTTCTCTCTCTCTCTCTCTCTCTCTCTCTCTCTCTCTCTCTCTCTCTCTCTCTCCCTCCCTCCCTCCCTCTCTCCCTCCCTCCCTCCCTCCCTTCTTCATTCTTCTTCACTCCCTCCCTTCCTCCCTCTGTCCCTCATATGTAGAGGAAAATAAAATCAGGGCCAGCTTCATGATATGTGACCAGTGTAGTCACACAAAGCTCTAGCACTCAGAAAGTGGATTAGTTAGGATTCTCTAGCGGAACAGAACCAATAGGATGGATGTGTATGAGTGGAGACAGAGAGCTGTATTATAAGAAACTGGTTTGTGCGACTATGTTAGGGAGACTGGCAAATCCCAAGTTGTGCAGGGTGAGCTGGAAAGCTGCAGACCCAGAGGAGCTGATGGTTTAGTTCCAGTCTGAGTCGGAGCGCCTGAGAACCAGGAAAACCAACAGTGTAAGTTCCCGTCTGAAAGCTGCCAGGCTTGAGATCCAGAAAGAGCTGATGTTTCAGTTGGAATCTGAAAGCAGGAATAACTCCCTCTTACTCAGGGGAGGGTCAGCCTTTCTGTTTTATTCAACGGACTGGATGGTGTCCATCCATGATTCAAGTGTTAATTTCATCCAAAAATACCCTCATAGAAATTCACAATATAATGTTTAACCAAATACCTGGGCATCCCATGGCCCATTCAAGTTGACACATAAAATGAACCATTACATGAGGGGACCATATGTTTGGCATTTAATACTCTGTGGTCACCATCTGAAATTTTTAAAATAATCTTATCTTTGAATTTGTATTTTTTTAAATATATTTTATTGATTTTTTTAACAGAGAGGAAGGGAGAGGGATAGAGAGTTAGAAACATCTATGAGAAACATCTATCAGCTTCCTCCTGCACACCTCCTACTGGGGATATGCCTGCAACCAAGGTACATGCTCTTGACCAGAATCAAACCTGGGACCTTTCAGTCCGCATGCTGACGCTTTATCCACTGAGCCAAACTGGTTTCGGCTGAGTTTGTATTTTCTAATTGAAGACCAATGGGACACTGGAGCTTGGAACCTCAACTCACCCACAGTCCACTTCCCATCACTTCTGGCATCCCAGGACCAGTTCTTATGTGCCTGATCCCACTTCCGCCCAGTGACCACGGCTGCCTCTGCTCTAGGATGGGGCCTGGGCACATGTATGGGAAGGATCAGAGGGGAGCACTACTAGCCAAGTTGCAGGGCAGGGACCCAGATACCTGGAAGGTTCCTACTGGCACTGTGAGTATCCCTATGACTGAGATAAGGTGATACTAAATGGCAAAAACAAACAAACAGCAATGACAAAAAAAACCTACATAACAGATCAAGAGAGAGGCCCTGGAAGAAAGGAACAAAGCTTGTTTTCCTGATTTTTTTTTTTTTAAACACAGGGCCTCCACTTTAATTTTGCATAGGGCAAATTATGTAGCTGGTGGCATCGGAGAGTAAGAACACTTAATGAAATCGTTAGCTTCTTTTTTTTCCTGTACACAAACACACACACACACACACACACACACACACACACAGAGCTGGTTTTCATAGTTGTCTTCCTATTTTTTGGTGGTGTGGATGCAAAAGAAGAAAAAGTTCAAGAATAAGTCAATTCAACAGGTAGTTTCAATTTGGATCATAATGGACGTTTCCCTCTTCTTCACTTTCCAGGGCCAGACTGCATATTGTCCTGCTGATGCTTAACAATGAATGGCTCTTGTAACATTCATTTTATTTGCTTCCAGTCCCGCCAACCTCGTCCAGGAATAGCCCTTTCATTCGTCTTCTCCTTCATCTTCTTCTGTCACCATGGCCCTACCACTATCACAATAAGAAGAGTTATTGTGACTATATTATGCCAGTTCTCAATATATTATTTAATATATTCAAGTTCTCAATATATTATTTAATATATTCCACGTAGCCACCCAGTAAGGTATGTGGCGTTGCCCCCCTCTGCTGATGAGGAAATAATAGCTGAGGGTTTGCATATGGTTCATTGCTAGGAAGTGATAAGCCTGGAAGTTACAAGTGGGAGTGCTCTTTCCACTGCACCAGTGTATACCGCCTCCACAGCCTTTTCATTCAAATGGCTCATCTTGCAGTCTTCAAAAACAAGCCCAAACTTTTTTAATCTAGCCTTTAGGCCACCATAACACAACTGCATCTACTTTTTAATCTTATCTTTAGTTACTCTTGCATTAGTCAGGACTCTGTTCTGTTGCAAGTGACAACAACACAATGATGCTGAGATACCAGAGCAATTGTTTCCTGTTACTGGAAAGTCCAAGAGGAGAGGGAGCTGAGTCTTAGTTGGCTCCAAGGATTTCAACTCTGCTCAAGACCTCCTCTCCTTCCCTCATGGTGCTTCGTACTTCCAAACTGGCTTAATTCTTAGGCAGTCTTCTTCTCTGTAACAGCAATGATGCCACGGCTGAGCTAAAGTTACACTGTCTTCATAACTAGCAATCATAGAAAAGAGAAAATAATCCCTTTTCCTTTTGTACTCCTCAAAGGTGTCTGCTTAGCTCTGCTTGGGCCATGAACCTACTCCAGGGCATATAATAACCTTATTAGACATCCTATTGGTCAAAACTTAGTCACATGATCTTACCGAGCTGCAAGAGAGGCTGGAAAATGTGATTTCTTGGTTAGGCTGCCATTTGCTGAGCTAAAATGAAAAGGATGCTATTAGGAAAAGAAGGAAAGAATGCATATTTGTATAATCAGCAGTATGTAAATTAGAGATTAAGTAAAGGTGAAATGAAGAGAGATACAGCTGCTTCATCTGTTGATTTGTTGCTGAAGCAGAAGTATTACCAAAGGCTTTCCAAATTGTTAAATTGAAAACTAGTTCTCTTTGACCTGTTAGCCTGCTTTTTGTCCCAAGTACCTTAGTATCTATCCTCTCTTTTTTCAATTTTATTGTCATCTTCTGTCTGTAAATTTAGCACTCTTGAAGAGCTAACACACCTAACAGGATTAGAACATAGACAAAGGTTAGTTTATTCATTTAGTACAGTTTTCTTGAGGGCCTAGTATATGCAAAGCACTGTTTGTTAATTAACAAAAGCCTGTGTAAGCTCTTGTTCTTGTAGTGGGTAAATAAAAAACACTATTTCCCAAGGAAACAAAGCTAATTATATCTCAGATAAAACTTTAAGCTACTTGAATGGGAGACATGTCCTCTCATGGTCCCATAAGGATGGCACACCATACATGTGTGCTGACCAGACATTTGTTGAAAGATTCTTAACATTGTAAATAAATATCTCTTTATAGTCCCTTGGATCAAATTTTCTTTGATAAAAATATATTGGCAACTTTGATTCAGATTTTTTCACAACCAACTCAATCAATGGATTTAGTAGAACTATTTTTTGGTGTGTTAGAAACCTAAAGTATCTTAGGCCAAAAAGGGATGCTGGTGATGACAATAATTTTTTAAATAGATTTTATGATATATATATATATATATGTAAGACAATAAACTGAGGCATTAATGTAAACTATATTCTGCAAACAATGAAGCCTTTTGTTTTTTGTTTTAAGACATCATATATATATATATATATATATATATATATATATTCCACACCCAAGGATATTTTTCCATTGATTTTTAGGGAAAGACAGAGAGAAATATTGGTGTGAGAGAGACATATCAATGGGTTGCCTCCTGCATGTGCCCCAACTAGGGCCCGGCCAGAGAGAAGCCTGCAACTGAGGTACGTGTCCTTGACCAGAATTGAACCCAGGACCCTTGGATCCACAGTCCGACACTCTATCCTCTGAGCCAAACCAGTCAGGGCGGTTCTGTGATATCTTATACTTTAAGACAGCTGAGTGATCTTAGGGACAACTGGTACCAAAAACTCAAATGCAGCTAGCACTTCTGTACTTCTCTGACTTATCTCTTTAGGTGTCAGTTTTTTATTTTTGTTTTATTTTATGTATTTATTTATTTTTACCACTGAAGATTGGCTTCCTCTATATGGTAAGGACCACCATACCTTTAAATTTCAGACCACATGCTATCATACAAGAGAATATGGAATTCTTGGCCGTACTTCAATGTGAAAAATTCCAAGGTAGTACTCTTATTTGGCCTGGTTTGAGTCAGGTGTCTAACCTTATATTGAAGCTCTAACGCAGTGCTTGGCAAACTCCTTAGTCAACAGAGCCACAGTTTACCAACCACTGCTCTAAGGCTAAAGAAGGAGGATAACAGAAAAGACATTACTTCTTGGGTATTCTCAACTGAGCAGTCAGCTCTGTTTTTACACGGAAGCAAACTGATGGATAGTTATCAGTTCTGAGAACATCTCATCAATGCCCTTTCCAGGAAGTGTACCCAAGACTGAGCAGGTTAAGAAGAGGATTATTCTGAAAAAGTTTCATAACTCCGTCTGCCAGAGTCAAGTCTCAGGTCTTCACGTTTTCAAGGGCATTTTTAAAGCTGTGTCATAAACAACAAGTTTGTTAAGCATAAAGTCACAATCAGGGGTGCATGTTAATTGTTTTGTTTTGCTTTGGAATAGGCCTCAGGCATCTTTTGAACCTATGTGTCTACAGCAAATGAGCAGTTCCGGAAGTTCTATAATATCTTCAGATAATTCCCTGTGAGACAATAAACTGAGGCATTAATGTAAACTATATTCTGCAAACAATGAAGCCTTTTGTTTTAAGACATCAAGTCCCAGGAAAAATAGCCCTGTTGATAATCTTTGTTTTCCCTTTGGTGGTGATGCACATTATAATTTTTTCTGCCCCAGATGAGAATGTTGTGAATTAAATAATACTTCTTCCTTCCGTTGTGACTCAACCTAGAGGGACAGCAGGGTTAGTTTTCATTATTATCGCGTTTCTGCCAAGATTTATGGAGGCTGACTAAGATTTGGAGTGGTAGGGCAGGGGCTCTGTTGTTCTGAGCTTTGTGAAGTCCCTAATGCAGGGACAACGTGTGGGCAGCCAGATACCTTCTAATTATATATGCCAGAGAATAGGCATAGTATCCAGCCTCCGACTGCTTACAAGAGGTCCAGCTTTGACTTCTATAATACATTCAAATCAGCTGAAAAGTTGAAGCTCTATTCATTTGTAATCACTCTGCTTTCTGAAAGGGAAACTGGAATGCCTGCAGCTAACTAGTTTCCCTGGGTCAGTTCCAGGTGAGCTATCCATAAGATCAAAACTTATTTGTTTTGTGATCACCTTTAAAAAAAATAAGTATTTTTATTGATTTCAGAGAGAAAGGGAGAAGGAAGAGGAAGTGAGATCTAGAAATATCAATGACGAGAGAGAATCACTGATTGGCTGGCTCCTGCACGCCCCCCCCCGCCCCCTTCCACCCCTCCTGCACTGGGGATTGAGCCCTGAACCCAGGCATGTGCCCTGAGTGGGAATTGAACCGTGACCTTTTAGTTCATAGGTTGATGTTCAACCACTGAGCCATGCCGGCTGGACATCACCTTTTTTTCTCTTTTGTCAACCATCTTAAGTGGCTTGATGTTGTGGCCAATGCCACTGAAAGAAAAACTAGCTGTGGGAGTGCCCCAAACTGTCAGCATGAGACAGGCCTGTAAGCCAAGACAAGTAGAATAGGGAAACTGAGACCGCTGAACAAACTGACAGAGCAATTCACAGCAGCTACAGCCGTCCGCCTCCCTAGCGAGGACATCTAGGCCTCATTTGTATTTCAACTCCAGACTCAGAAAAGCAACAAAACCAGGTAGGCGACACCAGGACCAGCTGCAATGCCTAGCGACCCTCTGGCCTGACACTGACCCATCAGTGGAGACCAGGACCCTGGAGGAGCACACCTAGAAAACTGGTGACTATTTAGTTGAAACCTCCCCTGAGCTCTCTCCTAAGATTCCCACCCGCAAGAGAGAAATCAAAGCCTAAAGACAAAGGACCCAGTGCTGGCTCTCCTACCCAGGAGCACACCCAGCTCTCCACCCTCTTCCTCCTCCCAGGCATGCAACTCCTGAACTCTAAGGGACCCCCTCTTCCTCAAGAGGCTTACAACCAGGGCAGCAGTGGGCAGCAGCAGTTCGTCCCAGACAAACCCTCTGAACTTGTCTCCAAGGCCCTCTTTGCTCTGACTTCTTAGTCAGCCAGCCCAGACCAGCCTCGGCTCATTTCTCCAGACTTTCCCCGTTTCCCTGGCCCCAGTGAAATTTTTCCTGCACAAAGTCAAGAACCCACACACTTCCGGCTGGCCCTAGGCAGACCTGTTCAACACCAGGTCCCCATTCCAGTAACACGGTCACTTTTTCAAGCTGGTGATTTTTAGCACCTGGACTCAGCACGGCAGGGGGACCTCACAGAATATCCCCTGTTGGGAGGTCCTTTGTAGGTACAGCACTGTTGGGGAGGACATCAGGAAGATGTCCTTTCAAGGCCATGATGGCCTTTCCGATTCCAGAATTGTTCAATGCTATTGCCTGCCCCACTTCCCCGCCCCGCCCACAAGCCCTGGCCAAGGGGGAAAGAGCCAGCCGGCAGCACGCATAGGGTGTGGTCAGCTTCAGCAGCCCCATCCCTCGGCTAGCTGACAAACAGGCAGTTGTCTATTTTTACTTTGACTACACTCTGCTTCCGTTTACCTCAATCACATCCTTTGTAGACTTACTTCTCTTCCTCTCCCCTCCTTCCCCTTTCCCGCTGTTATTTATAAGTGCTGTATTCTTGTTTACAGAGGAAAGACCCATCTTGAAAATTAGCCGGGCGGATACAACTGCCAGCCGGCCAGCTTTCAGGTTCTTTAAGCATCACAGACTTTTCTCATCCTCCCTTTTCCGTGGTTACCCCTCGGTTGAGAAGACCAACAGCAGGAAGAGTGGTGACTCAAAGCCAGAATCCAAAAAACAAACACTCACTAGTGAGTCACGTGCTGGAACCTGGAGACTCTGAGTCCTCCCATTCCCGGGAGGGAGGCCACGCTGGCTGGCCCTCCCTGCGCTGGGTCTCTGCGGAGGTGGCGGGAGTCAGGGATGTGTCACCTAACCAGATGTGGAGTTTACTGGGTCAGGAGATGGAGGGCGGCCTGGACTCGAATTTCTTCTCTTTTTTCCCCCCCAGTGCCTGTGGGAGACAATCTGATGCAGCCTGTGTGAGTCAGGCCTGCGTGTTGCTGTTTCTGGGGCTAGGGCGTTGCAGTCACCACTCTCCATCTCCCAGGCTGGTTTTGTGATTTTAATTAGCCAGCCTGTCATCCGAGTGGAGTGGAGGCGTGGCCTTTGCAGGGAACGGGTGTACTCTGGCTGTGTGGTCCTCCCTCGGTGGGGCCCTTGGATCTTATAATGATATTCTTCCCCCCCCGCCACCCCAGTACGTCTTTCTTTCAAAATTTCAAAGGGCTTTACCTAACTTGAACCCGTCAGGTCCTCAGTTTATATTTAGATTAAACACACATACACACACACAATCCAAAATGAGTGACTATGGGGATCTTTTGTGGCCAAGTGCTTTGAAACCCCGAGATGAAAGGGAACCCGTAAAGAGAAATTAACCTCATTTATTTTTTAAGCGGCATTTTGCATGCATGTGTGGACAGATGTAATTTGAGGCAACGTGAGGGAAGAGCCTCCTTGCACTCTGCGGTGACTCTCCCTGGCTCCGGCTGAATTGAAGGACCTCTTTTTTCTTTCTTTCACTTCTCTGTTTCCCAGGACAGGCAGATTCAGGCCGATGGCTGGCGCTGGGCACTGCCTCTGGGCATGGCACCCCTCCGTGGCTGGGCCTTCCCAGGGAGAGGCATCTGAGGTTCAGTAAAGAAAGGGGCAAGGGAGGGGTGAGGGGAGGGAGGCTCGGCATGCCTCTGCTCCCATACATTTTGCATTCTTCATTGCCCTCCTGAACCCACTGATGCAGCTGTGGCCAAGCACTCAGAAGCCCTTTGGGGCGAGGCTAATATTTAGCTGGGACCCACTGGTATTGCCATGCACGTTGTTAATATGTTGAAATACTCTGCCTGTCCTGCATGGCTCAGTGGCTGGGTGTGTATTGCATTTAAAAAATTTACTTGTTTGTTTGTTTTAATCCTCACTTAAGGATATTGGTTTGTTTTTCATTGATTCTAGAGCTAGAGAAAGGGAGAGGGAGAGAGAGAGGAACATTGATTAGTTGCCTTCCATAACCACTCAAACCTGCAACCTGGGTATGTGCCCTAACAGGGAATCAAACCCACAATCCTGCAGAATACAGGCCAGCACTCTAACCACTGAGCAACACTGGCCAGGGCAAGCTTGTGTGTTTTAAGGAGCATTCTTTCTGCCTCTAAATGGGATGCTCCCTTGGCATAATCACTGATAACACTATGAGGGGCCTACTGAATATACTACATGTGTTTTCCAAAAATAGATTCTAATTCTTAGCTGTTGTCAGCAATGAGAGTTATTTGAATATCTATAAAGTACCATAGGTCAACTTTTGAGACTTACTTTCATGCATGGCTTTAAGCCACACTGGTCAAGGCTTAGCAGTGACTGTCAATTGGTATCCCATCCTTGGCTAAGAACCACGTTTAGATTAAGTTAGCTTTTGAGTAGCCTATTTGTGTTCTGCTTCTTGATTTTGTCCGTGGAAAGCCCTTTCCGTTGTTTTTAGGTCTGGTTTTCTTCTGGGTTTGGCATTGCAGATTTGGTTCCAATCTGTGAATAACTCCAACCAAAGAAATGGGCTGCTTTGAGCATCGTTTTTAATGGAAGAGATAGAAATTCCATCATGCTTCAGGTCCTAAGTCTTACTGCCAAAAGGTTTCCTGAGTGACAGCAATTACATATTTGTGATTTATTGGAGAATTTGGGTGTCAGAGAAGGACATGAGTAGGAAAATGAACACTTTAGGGCAAATGGTAAACTGACTCAGGCTCTTTCAAGCCTTTCACATTACTTGCCCTACGTGTGTGTGTGTGTGTATGTGTGTGTGTGTGTGTGTGCACGTGCTTTCTAGAATTGGAGGAACTGTAATCACTGGCCTATCAGGTTCAATATTGAACCTCTGGTCCCAAAATAAATGGACATTGCTGTGCTTAAGACAGTTAAAGCTCCTAAACAATTTTCAAAGTCTTTGATCTGAGACATTTTATGAGTAGGCACAGGGCTTCTGAATGCATCATACGATTGGGCTGAAGCCAGGAAAGTCATGCCCATGTGTTTGAACAAACCATAGCCCACGAATGCCATAATTTTACATTGGAACATTCCTTTCCTCTTCTAAAGGGAATCATCCCTTGCTCATCCCTTGTTCACATACATGAGTAGTTGAAGAATCAGTCTCAAAAGTCTTTTTTAAAAACTTTACTTTTATCCTTCTACAAGGCTGGAAAACAATAAATCAAGAAGGCAAATGCTGAATCTGCAATTTAAATTGCATGAAAAAGTGTGAGCTTACAGAATCCTCTCTATCAATGTATCTATCTATCTATATATCTTTCTCTCACACACAAGCATATGCACACATATGCACAGTATATATAGTCTAAGTAATATTATGAAGTTAATGCTGTTATGATTACACTTATTAGTATGTGCCTTTTCTGCTTTAGCTGGTACTATAGTACAATGAACTTCGTTGATGTGAAAGGACAGAATCAGATAAAATACAATTAACCTGATGATTCAAATATTTCAGAATAACTGCAGTTATTTATTTATCAAACTTTTGAACATTTCCTGAGTTTTCTCAGTCTCTGTTCTAGGCTTTTGGCATATAAAAATAAAAAATATGAGATATCTACCTGGTGTAGGAGACAGAGGTAGAAACATGTTAGATTTCATGAGACACATGCTGTAGGCATTTTTGAGCCATGTTCTGGGAGAGTGCTGCAGAATGAATGTTTGTGTCCATCATAAATTCCAATGTTGCAGTCTAATCCCCAGAGTGTTGGTGTTTGGAGCTGGGATGTTTGGTAGATGGTTAGATCATGAATGTGAAATCCTGATGGTTAGATCATGAATGTGGAGTCCTCATGAATGAGACTAGTGACCTTATAAAAGAGACCCACAAAGGTCCTTTGCTCCTTTCCTCATAGGAGGACAAAATCAGAAGGTCGTTATCTGAATCAAACATCAAATCTCCTGGTGCATTGACCTTGGATTCCCTGATCTTTAGAACTGTGAGAAATAAATTTCTGTTGTTTACAAGCCACCAGCCTGTGTAAGACTGTTACAGCAACCCAAACTGACTAAGACAAGGAGCAAAAAAGCTAAGCAAGTAGACTGCATGAGGGAGGCCTCACAGAAGGGACAGATTTCTACTGAACCTTGAAGGATGGGTAGTATTTCCTGGCTTAGAAGAGAGTCAAGTACATTCTTGGAAGAGGTGCTATATGTAGCATGTCAACAGGGATTGACCAGATTTGATACATAAGATAGACAAAATATAAATCAATTGATTTTTATAAGTATTTGTACTTATGGAGCCATTCTTGGAGTCATCTTGGACTCCTCTTTTTCTCACATATGCAATATCTAAGCTACTGGCAAATGTTATTGGCAAAATGTATAGACTCTATGTTTTAAACACATCCCAAATCAAACTACTTCTCCCCATCTCCATGGCTACTCTCCAGGTTCAAGTCACCATTATGACTTGCATGGACACCTAAAACAATTCAAATGAATATTAAAAGTAGACTGTAACTAAAAACAAATACATATTTTTATTTCTAAAAAAAAAAAAAAAAAACCCAGAAAACAAGCAAACAACAATAAAAAAAAAAAACAACAACAACACACACAACAGGAGAATTTCTCACATTTCAGCCTGCTAAGATGAAGTCTTATGTAATGTAACATAATCATGAGAGTGACTCCCATCACCTTTCCACATTCTGTTCATTAGAAGCAAGTCACAGGATCCGCCTGCATCCAAGGGCGAGTACTATACCAGGGCATGACTCATTAGAGCTCAACTTAAGGTGTGTATAGTACATAAGTCTTTCAACTTCCACTCTTGCCCTCCTACACTTTGTTCTCCATATAGCAGGCAGAGTAATCTTTTTAAAATGTAAAACTAACAATGTCATTTTCTTGCTCACAGTCTTCTGAGAAGAAGGCCTGTAAGATCTTGCACATAGGGCCACTGACTACCTCACTTGCTTCAGTTTTCATCAGTCTTCCCCCTGCTCATTCTTATTCAGCCACATGGGAATCTTTATGGCTCCTCAAAAGGTCAAAACGAAGCAGAAAATCCCCATTAATCATTAATGGTATCCAGTGGGACTGACAATTAAGACACAGAGGGGAGAATTTAAAGTAGAGTTGTCCTTCTATAATGAAGAACTGTAACCTTAGGATGTCTACAGAGTTGTTTGATGTTGCTCCTTAGGTAGACCTAGGAAAAATGTGGGCACTCACAGATCGCTCATGTGAGTAAAATGGCAAAACCACTTTGGAAAAACAGTCTAGTAGTTCCTCAAAAGGTTAAGCAGAGACTTACCATATCATCCAGCAGTTCCACTCTGAGACATACATACACTCAAGAAAATTGAAAACATAGTCACACAATAATGTGTACAGGAATGTTCAAAGCAATGCTATTCATAATAGTTCAGAAACAATGTAATTGTCCACCAACTGATAAATGGATAAAGAAAATGTGACATGTCCATACAATGCAATATTATTGAACTACTAGGCCCAATGCACGAATTCGTGCACGGGTGGGCAGAGGGACCACGGGAGGTTGGCTATGGGAGCACACTGACCACCAGGGGGCAGCTCCTGCATTGAGCATCTGTCCTCTGGTGGTCAGTGCGCATCATAGCGATGACCAGTTGACCAGTCATTCAGTCTACTGGTCATAACGGTTGCTTAGGCTTTTATATATATAGATAAAAAAAGAATGAAGTGCTCTATATGCTATAAAATTATGAATCTTAGAGCATGTTAAGTGAAAGAAGAC